CATAGGCCGCAGCAACCACTTACCATCAGGTGGACTGTGTGTTCGTTTGTCACCCTATCCTATAGAAAAAAAAATTCTTTTACTTGCCACTTAAACCTGTCTTTTATATTATAGGTAAGAGGGTAAGCTAAAATATAATAAATATTATAGAAACAATGTATGAGGTAAGTAAAAAAAATAAAGGTTTAATGATACCATTTATTTTAATGGTTAGGCTAATACATAAATATACTATTCTGATAATGTAACATCATCATTACAATGGTTAACTTTATTGATGACTCTTAAAAACTAAGTAGATATTTGTACAACTATTGTAAATAGTTACAAGATAATTTCCAAGTGATTACATAGGAAAATAAATTACTAATATAATTCAAGAAGTTCGAGTGAATTTCAAATTTCATTACAATAAAAGATCTAGACTATCACATTCGCAAATTATAATTCCGTACGAACTTTGTATTTTACATATATTTTATTGGCAAGAAACTAAAAAAAATTAAATACATCCATAAATTCTGTTTATTCTATAGAGAGTGAAGGAATAGAGAGATACTTATAAACAATATAGCCAGTTTTATAGGAAGATATAAGCAATTTGCCATACTATAACGAATAGCAAAATGACATCCACTACTGTCGCCACCGCGCGGGATGTTCTTAAAACACCCCAGGGTAGCGGTCATTGTTACGTCTCCTGGGTAAAACCTTCCACATGCGCTCATTGAGATTACAACTTTTAGGTTTACCGAGCATTGGTATATTTGATCACAAATAAAAATACATTTCGTAAACTTCGGCATACACAAATTATTTACACTATTGTGCACTTTTTGTACTTTTAACATGATTCACATAAATATGCGATAGAAGTCCAATTGTACCATCTTACACACACTGCAAGCGCTTGTTTAACTGCAAAATCATCAGCCTGTCAACATAGTCTCACTTTATTTACACATCTGTCCATGAAATTCTTTTTTCTTTTGGTTTGAGTCGCAGCGTCTAAAGGCGTCGGCAAAGGAATTTGCGTGTGCGTTTTGCCGTCGGCTTCTAAAATGCCTTCACAGCTACGACAACGACGTGAAGATTTCGCGTTTTCATTAGTGTCAATGTGGTCGGAGCTTTCCGAAAGCCTTTCGGATAGACTGTACAAAGACTTGACGGGGGACATTGAATTAGACGCGTTGCAACTACTAAGCAATTGTTCGCAGCTTTGAGAAGTCGTCGGCGGAGCTTTGTCTAAAGATGATTGACGATTTCTTCGTGGTCTGTGAAAGAAACGTTTTCTATTTACTGCAAAAAAATAAATAGATAGATCAAATAGTAAACGGGATGCATAGTCGTAGCATTGTGGGAAGTGCTTCTGCTATATATTTAAATTTCTCATTTATTGAAAATTATTAGTGTGAAGCATTTATTAATTCTGTGACTTAATCATTTATCATTGAGTTGTGGTGCTGAGGGCCACGGGTTCGAATCCCGCAAGGAACAAGTATTTGTATGGTATAAGTACAAATAATTGTTACGAATCTAGACGTTTGTTTTTGTTTAATTTACTACCTCCACGATACTGGGGAAAATCCTAGTGAGGGGGTTACGTTTCACTAAAAAAAAAGTATTGTTTTAGCCGGCTAGCATAGTAAGAGTATCCATAAATTCATATAGTTCCATAAGCCTTGTAAAATTCGACCTAAAATGCTTTAGTATTGCAGCATCCGACTGACAATCATATTATCAAGTGTTCAAATGGATGTCAGAGCAATTATATCTAGAATGGTAACGGCGAGCAGTTTTTAAGGCTTTGTACTTGAGAGAGGTCTTTGTTAAGTCCATTACTTATATACTATTGCAGGCTGATGAATTATTTTCACTAAAATAATTGAGCCAATCATTATACTTTTGAATATTATTTATTGTACCAATACGGAAATAAATAATATGAAGGAAAAACAGTCTTATCGCTTTGAAAGCGGTCGAGAAGAATGTAGGAGAGTGATGCACTAAACAACTAACAAAGAAGAAGGTGTTAATAGCGGATAAAATAATGTTGTCCAAATTCTGGAATAGAAAAGTACGCTTGAGATTTGATGGAAAGAATGGACCAAGCACATCGGATATAATATTCAATTCGTTCTTTATAATACAATGATGTTTTTTATGATACTAAATAGGTACTGAAATTTTGTTTGTCAAATATTACCTTTTTTAAATGCACTACAGTTTCTATTCACGAATAAACCGCGAACTAAACTATAGCTCATTCTCTTCTTTAATACTTTTTAGCGGTCTAAATCTAAATGAAACTGAGAAAAAAAAAACAAGAACAATTTAAGAATGAATTCTTAAATTCTATGCATAGCAAATCCAAGCAGGTGAGCCGCAAGGCAGCACCTGTTTTCACACAAGCTTGTGAATGTGTTGAACACAACACTATGTTCAGAAGTAATACCATAGAATACTATAATACACAATAGAATGGCTGTCAACCTTACTCGTATTTTGTAGGAGGATTAGCGTCGCCGGGAGCAAACACAAGCAATTACGTCGTATTATCAGTTATCACTACTACAAACACATTTTACGAAGACTCTTTTTATAATCTTTTTTGATGATCGGCGTTTCTTTGCGGAAATCCATTATAATAAATAATTTATTACTTCGCAACCTTCCGCTAACTAATTACAATGATGTGTCTTACCTGGATTGATGAGCACCTCACGCCCTCCCTCAATTGCATGCACTAACTCCGTCACCACTAGTCCCAGCACCACTACTCCCGGCACCACTACTTCCAACACCACTATTCCAGGTAAGACACACCATCGACGATAATACGACACGTGTTTCACCTCTACACGAGGCATCCTCAGCGGGCTACATACGACACGATATCGGTGGCGATCTAGGGTGGAGTAGTGGGGATGCCTCCTAGATTGCCTCTAAATCGTGTCGTATGTAGGGCCATCCTAAGTCGTGGCCGATATCGCCTCCTTAATCGGCTGGCAGGAGCAAAAATGCTTCCTAGATCAACCGATGCTTCCTAGATCGGGGCACCGCCCCCTCCTTACTGCGTGTGTGTAGGCGCATCGGCCCGATTTCTTTTGGCAGTCGCTGCCGGCAACCCTCGCGGAAGGAAGTTAACAAAACAGTGATACTGAATGACCTTTTTATATAACAAAATTTTTACATTTTAATCATATAGACGGAGTACAAGCCTATGGCACTGATATTTTACAAAAAACCAAAAAAAGTGAATAAAATAAATAAATTAATTGAAATTTTATCGAAATTCAAATCATATCCACCCTAGCCTGTGACCCTGCGAAGTGACATGGTCAAGAATGCCTACTAAACTAATTTTTTTATTGCCGTTCGTAAAGTAGAGTGTATGATGTAAGTAAGAAGATAAAGCCTCTCCTCAACAACTAACTCCTATTCCAACGCTATCAACACAAGACCGCACTCATATCTCTTACAACTCCACAAGACCACACTTCGATCTCTTACGTGCCTTCATCCTCTTACCAACAACTAACTTCTACTCCTTCACCATCTCCACATCAACAAACAAGTTATATAAAAGGGAGTAGGTCCGAAATTAAAGGTTTCTTTATGTTTTTATTTCCTTGTTTGTTGTGTGTAATACATAACCAGATTTTGACCAAAGCAGAAATGAACAAAGAGAAGAAATAACTAAATAGCATAGGTAGGAGAAATTGACGTTTTTATATAAGTGGCGAAATCATTTCTAGAAGGTTATAAAAACTGTCTTCATCCATCCGGAGAAAATTAATCACGTCCTTGGATTACAGGCCATTTAGTACGTTTATGTGGCTTAATTTTTATCTCTTTTGGAGCCATTTTTTCACCCAGCAACTTCTCTTTTTCTATTTTCGAATAAATTAACCGAGATGGCTAATGCCAAACCAACACGGTGGTGTTTTAAGAGAGTCGAAGGTATTTTGAAGAACTCTACCGCATATGCATTCCGCTCCAAGTCCGAACGCGTACTGCTAGGCAGGCCCGTGTGTAAGGTCTACCCCGATAAAAGCCCCGATTTCTTTCCAACCTTAGATCGCCACCGATATCGTGTCGTATGTAGCCCGCTTAAGGTCTACCCCGATAAAAGCCCCGATTTCTTTCCACCCTAGATCGCCACCGATATCGTGTCGTATGTAGCCCGCTTAATGTAGATTCTACGGTGACTGACCGCTAAGCTCTTCAATCCAGGTAAGACACATCATTGTAATTAGTTAGCGGAAGGTTGCAAAGTAATAAATTATTTATCAAAATTAATGTTTTTGACACATAAATATTTCTTTATTTTTGTTTCTAATGTTCACAAGATATAAATACTTTCGACTTACTGGTTGTAGAATAGGTCTCCTTTATTTAAATTCCATTTCCCGCTGTTCTTTCGACACGTAATTATTACACAAGTTGCCATTTCTTAAATGATTTGCATGCAGCGACGCTTGACACGAAAATTGGAAACGATTGATTGTGTTGACATTTATACGTGTGAACTGACATGTTAGTGGCTACACGGGCTCCGCCCATTCCCCCGTTCTATTATATATTATGTATTATAGTATTCTATGTATAATACGCACGTGGCAACTATGGCCGCTCTTAACCATATTAAAGGAAAATGAACGACCAATGTTGCGGCAACACCGAATAATAATCAGCATTATAAAACAAGGCGCCAGAGGGCGCCCAGCGGCAATCTTTTTTTTTAGAAAGGTCTGACCATTGTACCAGCAAAGATATTAGCAAGTCATTATATCATTTTTACCAGCGACCGTATTTTATTTTGTTACGTCCATTTGTAAACAACCAATTCAATTGATTTTAATTATTTTTTTTTGGTCGATGAATTTAATTATTTTGTAATAGACACACATTTTCCTATGGGGAATGTTAAATACAATGGGTATACGAATGTGAGGAAATAATTACCTAACAGGCGGCAGGGTGTGCGTGGGCTCTAGTCAGTCTGCCTTGTCACTTCCTCGGCTCTCACACGACGGCATGCGCTGGTAGCTGGGCGGGCCGCGGCCGATCGCCGCCGTGCCCGGGGTCGTTACGTCGCCGCGCCCGCGGAGTGGCCCTTCGAACCGGGTGGCTAGGTTCGACTTGCCCCGTAGGAAACTGATGGATTAAACAGTTTGTTTAGTTGTTTCTTTTTAGGTTATAACATTTTGCTACAACCACAAAGGAGACTGATACGCTTTCATACATTCTTGAGACCAGATTGTAAAAAGATGAAAGTGGTGTCAATCAATAGCTTATATATATTATCAAAACATCACTGAAAATTCGGCGGTTTTTGGCAATCTGAGAGAAGTTATATGAGATTTAGTAAAAGTGAGGTTATGCAACAAGTTGTCTACAACTTAAACTAAACACCCGATTTTTGAAGTGTGATTGTTATTTTCTATATTAGGACAGTTTTACTAAGTATATTAATAATTGTAGTATTTACTGTATTGAGTTGGAGGATAATAGGAAAATCACAAATAGATTGATCACGAATAGATTCTTAGAATAGAGATTTATTTTTATTGTGTCGGTATTTTATTTTTAAACTGTTGACACTGTGTTAATATATTTACTATGATCGAATCAATTATTTACTGTAAGTTGTTTTAATGTTTAATTGTTAAAACTCATGCACACGAATCGATTGAACTAATCGATTTTTTATTTAGTTTGTGACATAAACTTATTTTTAAGATTTCTCGTCTTCCAGATTGTGAATTGGGCTAATTTTATATATTTTGAAACAGATAAATATAACGCTTTTTTAAACCATATTTCAACTTATTACCAATTCTGCCTAAAAATCCCCGTCTCCTTTAGTATGTATATTTTAAATTATATTATTACTTTTTTATTTACATTATAGCATGCAATAAAGCATCAGTGTCTAATTGATTTTGATCCCTTGGGTATCGTAAATGCGATATTGGAATATAATAGAGTGATATTGTAGCTTCTGTTATATGGCGGTATAACTATATCGTTTACGCCAGGCGTAAAGTACTAGGACCGGTGATGGGCGAGCACCGTCCAAGATGCGAGACTCCTGGAATTACGATCGTCATTCGTATGCCAAGCTTAACGTTTAAGGCAAATGCTGGGTCAGCTTTTGACGTCGTGCGATACGATTTTGCTTATGATTTTGGTCTTAATCGATGTACTTTAATGCTCTAAGGTACGCCATAGTACGCCTTTTAATGCTAAAATATGTGGTTTTAAGAAATCATTTTTGAAAGTGTTAAGACTGATTGCGATAATAAACTAAGGACATATAGCAAAATCCGAAATATGGTTAAAATGTCTATATGTCTGGATTTCTGTTAACTTTGACATAAATATGAAAGTATTTATGAAATATCAGCGACAGTAGACTGAGGTGCGGCTGGGATGCCTTAGCATTTAATGCCATGGACGGTTGTCCAAAAATTCCGCGAGGGGAATTCCCCTTAAGTGCAGAAGTAGTATACACCCCACCCCTTCTTCCTTCTCACCCCTTCGTGTCTTAAAATACGAAAGCAATGCCCAAATCTTTCCTATAACATGGAGATGTTCTTCGATAGAATTATACGCGTTAAGAGGATAAAGTCAGCTCAAATTCTAATTTCGTCTCCACTTCCCCGCGCGTCGTATGCTATGTACCGACATGTTTGTAATCACTAATACTGTAAGTAAAAAGGTCGTTAGACACTTATTTCATTAGGTTTATCATATTTATGCCTGTTTCTTAACGCCAAGCCAGTCGCTTCTTATTTTTATTACGGTTATTTCCCATTTTAATTTTACGTCGTCCTGTTGCGTAATGTTTATTCTGATCTTAAGCGACACAACCTCCCCGTTCAAAGGCCGAAGCGAAGTGACCTTGCTACATATTTATTTATATTGACGGTGCTGCGGGAACCACGCTTCAAGAGGCCGATAGTTTAGGTAATTTCTTTTTACGGTGAAAATAATGGTATTTTAAAAAAAGTAAATAACATAAGCACTGCTTTATAGTTAGTTCAGTTAGTATGCAAAGTTTCATGATCTTATTTAAAGTATTTTATGAATAACAGCGGTTTATTGTTTATTTTGGAGGTAACTTTAGATTTTTTTTCTATCGAGAAAATTTTACGAAATCGTGTTTTCGTCTAACATAATCCTTAACATTAATCCTCAACTTTACCATATATTTATTTCAAAATTAATGCTGCAATATTTTCGGCATAACGAAGGATCTTGCTAAGCCATTTGAGATTATATTTCCCCTTAATGATGATAAACAAAAAATGATTATTTATATGAGCTCACAATTTTTATTGGAGGAGTTTCATACCTTTCTAGTTTCTCCACGCAAGCGTCTTGATAGTCGTGTATCCAGCGAACACCATTAAAATGGCACACGGCGCGCATATCTTCCGGCAGTTCCTCAGGCTCGGGCCACTCGAAGTTGTCGATGATGGGCACGATATTGCACTTGGATTGTAAAGCAGCCACTATCTCCTGGAAGATCATAATGTTTTATTTATGCGATTGGTAACATTTTTACAATTCTGTATAAAGTTGATAATCAAGATGTAGAAAATTATGTCGCTCATATTTTTTATAACGGAAACTCAAGGATACTCGATGACCCTTTTTACCGCCTGGAAAAAATAGGTCGTAACATGTGATCGGAGTAGAAGCCCGCGGCACTGACAATTTACAAAAAATAGAAAATTAAATTTTGAAATAAATAAATTTAAATCTATCGAAATTCAAATCATATCCGCCCTAGCCTGTGACCCTGAGTAGTGAACAAGGTTAAAGAGGCCTAATAAATTTATTGTCGTAAAGTAGGGTGGATATGATTTGAATTTCGATTGAATTTTGATTTGGTAGAGCCATGCTGCAGTTATATTAGTGGTATAGTTGTAGTTTGAATTGGTCGGCTCGACCAGGGAAGGACCACGTTCTCACAGAATACCAGCGTGAAATAGTAGCTTCATGCTGCTGTATTTCGTATGGTGAGTGTGGAGAACCGGAGACCCTTTTTACTGCAAACGAGGCATTACACTTAAGTCCTCAGTAGTGACAATGCATCTGCATTTTGATTCGTAATCGAGGATAGATGTAGATGTCTATGGGCCACAGCAACCACTTTCCATCAGGTGGAATGTGTGCTCGTGAGTCATCCTATTCTATAAAAAAAGTTTTAATTAATTAATTTATTTACTTCAGAATTTTATTTTTATTTTTGAAAAATATCAGTGCAATTGGCTTGTACTCCGTTCACATGTTACACCATATTTTTTAGGCGGTAAAAAAACTCATCCAGTATATGTTTGTAATTCTTCTGTCTGTGTGTATGCGACTGAACTCCTTCTAAGCAGCTGGACCGATTTTGTTGAAATTTTGTGTTTGCGATTAAGTTGATTCGAGATGGATTAGATTTACAATTGGACCTGGTAGGCGGCGCTGTTGTCGAGATCAAGAAATCGCACGTGCGAAACCAGGGGAGATCGCTAGTTTACTAATAAAATAGTAACAATATTTTATCATGTGGAAAGATCTAATGAACCTAAGGTCCTTAAACAAGTAAATCTAATAAGTATCGTGCGCGCATGTTAACAACCCGGTTTGAGTTTTTGATGATATCGTGAAATCCCGCTTTTTAAGTATTATTAAAAAGTAAGTAAAAGTAAAGTTACGGCCTGTATACGTCCCACTGCTAGGCACCGGCCTTCTCTCATTTCTGAGAGGGTATTAGGGCAAGGAAGTGTCCCCCACGCTGCCCCAATGCGTGTTGACGAACTTCACATGTTTTCGAAAAAAAAATTTCTTATTTCTAGGACATGCAGGTTTCCTCACGATGTTTTCCTTCACCACCGAGCACGTGGTAAATCAGCACTTAAAATTGCAATTAAAATGGGTGTGAAATTTACAGCAAGCGCTAACCATCTGAGTTACCACGGCTCTCTTAAGCATGATTATGATTATTATTAAATTTATTTTAAGGAAATTATAACAAAATGCGGTGACGATGTAAAATTAATTACAATTTAAAACGGTACGAATCTATATTTAATTCGATGTAAGTAATCTGAGTTCAAATTTTGCGCACCCATACAGCATAATTAGTGCGCAATGCGAAGTGAAATAATTAATTATCTTGCGTGATGTTTTTTCTGTTTGTGTCATTAGCCATTACAGATAAATGCCTTATTTTGTAATGATATATGTTTTGATAGAATCACTAAGAATTTATTAAGAAAATATAATTAACGTACCCGATGAACCCAGTCCTTTTGTTCCGTGTCGTGCTTACACCTTTCAAGAGCATTAGGTGTGAGCACTAAAAGAAAGTTTTTCGCTTGTCGTATACTTTGTAGCAAGTTGTTGTCGAACTTTCCCGCTTCTAATCTTTCTACGTCGATAAAAACGGTGAAACCACGCAACTGTAGATGGACTTTCAGCAGGCTCGCAAGTTGTGAACCATTGGACCGTCTATAACTAACGAATACATCTAGGTTCTTCTCCATATTCTCTTCTCCTTTGCTTGGTAGTGTACTTTCATATACTGTAAGCAAATATAACAGTTGAGAATACTTTAATGTAATTGATGTATACTATGAAGAAGTTTATATTTTTTTAAATTTATTTTATGTACACACATCAAGATACAGAAGCAGTCTTATAGTAATTTCGTACAAAGGTTGTACTTATTCCATAATTAGCTGAAATATCTTCCAGTAGACCCATAAAGGAAATTATATTGAAATTGCAAACTTAGTGAATACATTAGTAAACTACTAAAAAATAAATAATATACACAATGTTACGTAAATTATATAAAATAAAACAATAAATAAAAATAAAATAAATCAATACATAATAATAATAATAAATACGATAGTTACATATGATATATATATATATATATATATATATATATATATATATATATATATATATATATATATATATATATAATTAATATAATAGAATAATATATATTAATTAACAGGATGCAAAGTAGTTATCTCTAAGGCGTTTCTTGAATACCAATAAAGTATCGGAATTTCTTATATTTGACGGTAGTGAGTTCCATAACCTTAGCGCGTTAACTGAAAAGCAGTGGGAGTAAAAACCGAATTATAGACGGGAAAGTCAAGAAGAGTTTTAACAAGGGGTCTGCATGGTTTGTCCGGAGGATGGGTGAAGGAAAATCGGCTTCTGAGGTATGTGGGAGAGGAAGGGTTGTGCAAAATGTTATAGAGAGACATACAATCGATTTGGAGGTGAGTTGCTTACGAAACTGAGATATACGGTCAAATTTCTTGAGCCCAAATATAAAACGGATACACTGATTTCGCAAGCGCTCAAGTTTATTAAGAAGCTCTGTAGCATCCAAATAATAGGCATCCGCATAATCAAGGAGAGTTAGGATAAGAGTAAGCACGAGTGATATTTTAGCTTTAAGGGGTAAGAAATTTTCAAGCGAATGCAAAGTAAAGTAAAGCCTTGCGACTAACCTCAGCGATATGCGTGGCCCATGTTAAATGGTGATCAAATATGACGCTTAAGTTTTTGACAGTATTGGCAAAAGGTATAGGAACGCCATTAAAACAAACAAGAGGTAGCGATGTAAATCCTAATCTATTACGCAAATTCCTACTGCCTATTATGATGGCCTGATTGATGATTTTTTTAAGGTTGATAAATAATTATATTATGTAATGGCGGTATAAAAATATCCACTACCCTTATATCTACCCGTGGGTTTTGTAAGAGGCAACAGAGGGAATTTTTATATAGAAGAGGGGGGCAAACGAGCATGCGGCTCCCAGATTATAAGTGACTACCGCAGCGCATCCCATGAACAACTGCAATACCAGTTGAATTGCAGGTGCGTTGCCGGCCTTTAAGAAAGGAGTAAGCTCTTTTCTTAAATGTCCCTAAGTCGTATTGGACCGTAAAAATCACCGGTGATAAACAATTCCACAAAGAAGTTGTACGAAGTAAAAAAACTCGTAGTAAAACGCACAATGGTGGGCCGCCAAGCAAACAAGCGTCAAATGTTGAGGGTGGTACCGTGAATTTTGACGCGACGTGCCTTCGTGAAATTTGGCAGCTGGAATGAATCCGAACAATTCCTTAGTACACTCTCCGCGGTAGATGCGTTCTTAATAACAACCAGAAAATTAAAACCTGCGTTGCGAGCCCACCTGCCAAGCGTGTCAACTATTGTAAATATCGAATGTATAAATATATAATATGTAAAAATTATAAATGTGGTCAATTATTACGAGAACCAACTGATCACGCGAGGCGCCGCTTACTCGCGCGTTAGACACGCTCAATACGGTGACTGAGCAGATTGATTTATTTGGATGTTCTCTTAACGAGTTTCCAAAGGCTACTTTCTTATTTCTATATTTTAGTTGATAGACTTATGGTATGTATTATGTATTATAACTAAAGTCTAACTTTTCTATCGTATTAGGGTAACCCTATAATGATAGTTGTAAGTGGATATAATAAATAAATAAATCTGTGGCGAGACCTATGTGAAGTATTAAACTTTGATGTTTATGGGAGTGCCTAGAAAGTTGTGTATTGTGGTTGGTGATAGACTATTTAAATACATGAAATGTAGTATATGGGTTGGATATCATTTCAATTGACAGGGTAAGGGTGTCATGAGGGTATTTAATTAGAGAAGCTTGTGACCGTGAGAGGAAAAAAAATATTGAAGATTTTCACTCTATTCCAAAAGTTTGAAAAGAAAGGGACAAAGTTTCAAAATGGAATCAATGTGTTGTATTCAAATGCTAACATGATGTTTCCATGTTTATATGCCATGTTTATATGATGTTCATTTGATTTTGATTTTATATTGGTGTTATGTAAGTACCCACAATATTTATATTTATCTTTATAATAAGTACTCTTATTAAGCTTTAAGTGAAAATTTTGTTTATGTAATTTTATATAAACCTAACAATGTATTGATATTTTTTTATTTTAATGAAACCTAAAACTAAATTTCCAGCTAAGGATCATTGTATCTTTTATGAACTATAATTTGAATATGAGAAGTAGTTGATTAAAAGTGTCAAGAAAAGACCCGAAGACTTATCAAAAGACACTCTGACCTGGTATTGTGTTTTTGTATAAACAAGAGTTGGTAATAGGTACTTACATTGATGTTTTAACATTCCTCAACACGGCAGAACAAAAATTGGGTTTGCATGCAAAAAATTTGCCACTATCAATGTATTAATTCTTGATAGACTAGTACTTTCTGCTTTTGCGAATCCGTTTTCCATGACGCCAATTCAATAAAATACGGAATAAAAGTCAACAATCGTGATTACTCGAAAAATTTCGGAATAACACACAGCACTTTAGATTCTACTATCGAAGTGACGTCACGACGAATTCTAATATGGCGGATAGCGTTTTGGACATTTGAGGCACAGATTTAAAAAATATATTATTAAAATGGAATTTTAAAATTTATAATACATTTTATGTAATGAATAGAAATCAACATTTCTCGCTTACTTTTTACAAAACCCATCATAAATACATATTGTTGTTTAGTTTACATGGTGCAAAATACCCTATTCTATATTCCACATATCTAGAAGATTTTAAGTAAACACGTGTAGTGTTATTCTATAGGGTTATAATATTAGATACTGTTTTAAATTATATAGCGTAACCATTAAAAATAATTTTATTCCTATTAAGACATATTTTTGTATCACGACTATATTATTACAAATAAAAAAGTAGCCTTGTCATACAATCTCTACATTGACAATATCGAAGAGTGATTAACAGCTGTTCTCACCTCGAATTGCATTCAGAATCCTTAACCGATGTATGCTGTTAACTATGCGACATTCATTTTCTAGTTGCTCGTCACTTAAACCTCTGATAGATTCTTTATCGACACCCGCGTTTAACATGGAGTATGTATATATTGTGTATTCGGGCCCTATGCTTTGTAAGAACTCGTTAAGGCTGCCCGTGTCTCGTGAACTGTAATCCGCCATTTTCTTTAACTGTTGAAGCTCTCGCGTGAATCTGAAATGCCAAAATATTATCGATATAATTTTTGTTATATTTTTTTATATAGATAGGATAGGGTGACAAACGAGCACACAGTCCACCTGATGGTAAGTGGTTGCTGTGGCCCATAGACATCTACATCTATCCTCAATTACGAATCAAAATGCAGATGCGTTGTCATCCGTGAGGACTTAGGTGGAATGCCTCGTTTCCAGTAAAAAGGGTCTCCGGTTCTCTACACTCGCCATACGAAACACAGCAGCATTAAGCTACTATTTGACGCTGGTATTCTGTGAGAGCGTGGTCCTTCCCCGGTCGAGCCGACCCATTCGTGTTACAACTATATAAAAAATAAATATTTACGTCATTTCATAGTTGGCGCTAGCGTAGATAAATTCTGAGACTATAAGCTTGGGCTAGAGTACCTTTACTTTACTACGAACTTTATCACAATAATAAGTGTGGGGGAGAATTAGTAGCATAATCCTGATTCATGATTACTTATTTACGTAGATGTTTTAAGTGGATATGGATAAATAGTGGATAAATGGAGCTTAGGAAGATTGTTTTAACCCATATTTTAATTGCAATACTTTATAAAATAAGATTGTTGTTATATTAATATTTTAATAAGGTGACATTAATGATATACCTTTTTCTTTTGATTCCGTTATGCAAACCAATGTCTTCTTTGAGATTATCTTCAGTTATCTGTAGCAGCAGATCACCATCAACTCTGCTCTCTTGGAAATTGTTCGCATATTCAGCAAACCCTATCTGTTTAACCCATTCTTTTACGTCTTCTATAGACCAGAGAGGGACCTGCTGCGACAGTTTGTGGGGAACTTCCTCGCCAATGAGCCTTAACGCTTGGGCGGCATATTTAGATGCGACTGCGTTTGGACAACTGGCCACTTTCTTTAACGACTCTATAGCTCCAATCTCTCTAAATATTTCTGTGTTTCCTTGCTGTTTCTTAATTCCTGCTTCCATGCAAAAATGAAATGCTGCCAAATTCCGAGCCTCCTCCCTTTTTGAACTTAATACAGGAACTAATTTTTGTAGCCAATTTTTGCTTTGACCATGTGCATGAGCTAAATTTGATTTCGCAAATTCTGATGGATTGTGGGACGTTACAAATGGTTCTACCAAATCTAAAGTTCCCGATTTTAATACAGCTGCTTCAATTTCTTTATTGGCAACCAAAACAGCGATGGCTAAACAAGCGTAATACTTAATATTGTCGTCGTTGTGGAATGCTAAAGGAAACAACCACATGGGCACTTTCCGCTTTATCATCGCCTCTTGATTTTCAGCACCACCGTACAATGACAGATTAGCAAGCGCTGTGGCACAGTGCCTTAAAGTTTCTATGTCATTTTTTCTACATTCAAATAAAACAGTATCTAAGCCTCCCAGTCTGATTACGTCACTGCATGTCCCTTCGCTGTGTTTGAACAAATGCTCTAATATACCGGTGCGTATTCTCGAGTGTTCAACTGAATTCGCATATTTAGTACATACGCAAGCCACATTTACAACTTTTTCCAAACCATTCTCAACAACATGTGCTCTATTTTCTGTTGTAAGGCTTTGTTCTAGAAGCTTCGCCGAGGAGAATTGTAATTCCGGATTATTTGACTCCAAACAATTTTCCATTAGGATATCAAGGCCGCCTGATGTTCTTAATGTGTTGCAGAGCGAATATCCTAGTTCGTGACCATATGTTGGCACAGCCCATGCCCTCCTCATCATTTCATTTAATTTGTTAAAATGTGCTGAAGCATTCTTTATATCAATTTGATTATTCTTAATAGAGGTAATAAATGCGTTCATACGCGATGAATACTTTTGTATCGCCAAATCAACGTCATTCTGGTTTGAACTTGCGTTTAACTTGTCCAGATCTTCAAACGTTAAATTTGTTAGATCTTCATCGCCTGGTTTAATTCCGTTTAAAAGCTGACTCATCTGAAATGGCAACGTACGACATTAGAAATCAAATTATGACTAAATCGCACGTACGTCAGAACACGCGTGTTGTTAACGTTAGCTTTTGTTTTTTATAACTGTTACTAGGTCGTTAAAAATGAGCGGAAGAAAATCGGAAGTTACTAAACTAGGATTCTGTTTGAAAACATGCCGAACGAAAATAAAAGAAATATTTAAAGCAGTTAAAAAGCCATCAACTTTTCTTTCAAAGTGTTTGTAAAACTACCGTAATCATCTTTTATAAATACTTTTTTTTAATTTAGTAATTTAGGGCAGAACAGTTATAATGTTAATCAATATTATGTATGTTAATAATAATAATCATCTTTTGCTTATGAGTAATTATAAACAAAATTGCGGTATATTTTTGATGTCATTCGTTTATATAAAAATTTTATGTTGTAAAATTTATACCTAACTTTTTTTTAACTTTCAGTGCGTTACTTTTGGATTATGAATATCGGGCTCACCTGTGAGGAAAGTAACGTCGATTTAGTTGACAGATTTTTACTGGAAATTGTCATATTAGAATGTGCAACACTGGAGTGCTCTTTGTGGCTGAACATTCCGCTTGAAGTAACAGTTTGCCTGGCTTGTGCTGAAGCCATCGCTTTCTTTTCAGCACTAAAAGCTTCAGTTTGCAGTCTTGAACTAGTAGCCGACATGTTATTTGCCTCCTGAGCTGTCACTTCACCGGCTTTCAACGACCTTTGCTCCTAAAACACAAATTTTTAAAAAAATTATATTATGTACTGGAAGCTCTAACACTGTCGTCCTAAAATAAGTTTAAGACGGTTAAAATATTCTTATCACAGCATCACTCTCATTTAGACATATTTAGCGCGCTCATTCTAAACACAGTGATTCATATAGAATATTCAGTAATTACAGGAATAATGATACGCAATTTGGGCCTCGAACGTCGCTTAGAAAAAGACATTATCCGCTAAATCGAACACGTTTCGTTGCGAAAACTATATAAATACTGAAATTGAAAATACGCGTAGCGGCTGCTGTGATTCTGGATATAGGCCAATCGCGCGGAACCCGTGAGTATCGTGATTATTTTAAAGTTTGTGTACGGACGTGAGCGGACGTCATGTACTGGGAAGGCCGTGTGTTAAACCAGCATGCATACATGTTGGTCAAACCTAACCCGTAGGCAAATTGATAAAAGGCGAGAGCTACCAGTCTACATGTTGGCCGAGTTTGAATGAGTGAAAATAATAGAAAATAAGAAATTGAATTTTCCAAAGCAGCGTATTACCGAAGGGTTTAGCGGGTTGAGAGGGTAACGCGAGTGGACTCGTCGATGCACAGGCCAAGGAACTGACCCCCCGCCCGACATTCCGTTTCTAAATTTAAAGCCGGCTATTCGCGTTTGAGAGCGCGTGCGCAATATTACTTCCGTGTGTTGCTTGCGCGCAACGGTCAGGCACGGACTGAGACAAGCATGGTGCGTTTACGATAAACATGAGATAAATGTGTAAGGCCTCGATCATACCATCGGTGTCTGGATTTACGGTAATTAATAAGCGCGCACTAAATTACGGAATTTTAAACGCACGTGAAGCTTAAGCCTTAACATTCTCACTGCACGAATTGATCCCCCACATTTAAGCACTCTTGCGGTCCATGCGACAATACGACCCATGTTTTTTATAAATATTTAATAGTAAATTTTCCATCTGACTGCCGCAAGAAGCGATAGTAGACTGAGACAGTGTTGCCCCGACGTTGCCTTGCGGCGTCGTGGACTATCGATCGATATTATACACGCGAGGTCTCGTCCTTCGGCGCGCCTTTCTGGCTGCTATTTTGTTTCGAACTATTTTAATTATAATAGTTTCTTTTTGAATTCTCGTTTTGATTTTAACTGCTCTACAAGCAATATTATTCGTTTAAGTAAGTCGTAATGTTGGTATTTTAAATAACTATAAACACTTAACGTTGCGTATTAATATGTGTGTGCATTGTGGTCTACGTTGTTAACAAACAGTTCGGTCAAGAACTCTAATTCAAGGTCAAAATTTATGCGGCATGATAATACGACGTTGCAGTACTTTTTAAACTCTTGGAACCTCTGTAAATGTACTAAAATATAATTATTTTGCAAAAACATAATTATTTTATGAAAATCTAATACACGGAAAAGTCTTCAAGTCAAGTTGTCTACTTCACCTATGCAACACAGCAGCATTAAGCTGTTGTTATACACTGGTATTCTGTGACAGCGCGGTTCTTTTCGATTGAACTGATCCATTCAACGTGGCTTTACTACACTAAATCGCTATTTAAACGTGTACCTTGCAGAGATTGCACAATGAATTCGTGTTAAAGTTATATCGAACGAAAAGGCTTTCTATATTTTAGGTCATGTTCAGAACACATTTTATAAATTTGTTATTTTAATTTAATGGAAAAAAGACCGTATATCGTCTTTTTCAACATAGAAATATTATTGGTACTCAATCTTTGTTACTTACTTGAAGATAGGCGTCATTTTTCTCCGCAGTTAACCCCTCAGCTTGCAATAAACGATGCGAGGCGCCAGCGGCACTTCGTTCCGCGTATTGTACGTCGCCGTGCTGCAACCTTCTCATTCTTGCGCTATTAGCAGCGGATCTTGAGGCACTGTATCCATCCGCCACTACTCTGGTAGAACTCGCTGACGTTACTCGAGCCGCACTATACTTTAACTCATTAGCTGCACTTGAACCCACAGATACGTTATTGCCAGCAATCAAACAAGACTTGTCGCTGACAGGCGGCGGTGTATCCGATTCTGGAAATGTTACTAACGGTGCATCAGCTGCAATATCGCCTATGTCTCCCATGTCATTGTAATCGCCCATTTCATCAAGATCTCGGATGTCTGGCAAATGCCTTTCATCTTGATCCACTATGTTTTCCATTGAGCTTTTCAGTCTGCAATGAACATATTGACATGTATGAAACACAAGAATGGAAATTCCATTAAAGAGCGTGTGTTATTTTAAATTTAACTAGACACAATTTTTATTAATATATTATTCGAAACGATTGCGGAGGATCTTAATGTTGCTTTTGTTTGTCGGCGTAAAACTACAAACATGAGCGATCAAACGGCGGGTGGAAATTGGCCGGAAGCCAAGGCTTCAGGTGAGCCAGCTTACCTGTTATCTCAAATACCCATTGACAAGGTGCAAAAACATTGACATAATATTATATATCACATGTGTTATCGTTACGTAAAATTGAAAAAGAGGTTATTTATTTGTCTACGTACCTTTGTCCAAAATTTAAAGCTGTACTGCTTAGGTTTTTCATTTCAGAAATAGAGCTCTTAAGTTCTGAAAGATCCGATTTCATAGAGCTGGCTTTCATTTCCGAAGCAGTCATGTGTTGGAGACGCTGCGATGAGCTTTGTAATCGCTGGCTTGACGCCGCGCTACTGGAAGTTGTACTCGAAACCATCTGTAAATTATTAATTAGTATTATTTAAGGTCACTTCTTCATCCGTTTACAAAGATCCTTTGAAAGAAAACGAGTGCTCTTCGTATGTAAACAAGATTATTAACCTTTGCTTCGATAATGGTATCGTCTTACAAGGAAAATGTAGGAATTCCGACTAGCACAATTATTTAAAAAGAAGTTACTGAGACAAAAGGTCTGATAGTACACGTCGTCGTTCGCAAACGTTATCTAGACGTGGACTGGAGTTCAGTGCCAATGTTAGAGGTGTACGTGCGCTGTGCGGGCGTCACGCGTCTTGGCGCATTTTCGATATATATAAGTAAATAGTGACGGTGAATAGAAAGAGTGAGGTACTAAAATAACATGACAAAACGATCTATTAAAGCCCAAATCAGATAAAAAGAAACAAAAATTTGTAATTTAGTGCATAACTAAAATACAATGGAGATAAAGGTATTTTAGTAATAACTAAATTAAACTGTGATGAAGAATAGCAGATTATTTAAAGCAGCCAAGAATATACCAATTAATATGCGCTCTTTCGTGATATGAGTGGAAAATTTAAATTTTTGGCATTATATAGTATTGGGGTACCACATTAGTGATTCAACGTATGTGGGCGGAATGCAACTCAATTTAAAATAATGATCTTGAATTTTATTTAACGTAATATGTACATTTTTGTTTCATTTCTAGAAACACATTCATTTTATCGATTGTCGTCATTACCATAGACGTAGTTTCCCATCACGTTGAATGCTCCGTATATTTATAGAGATTATTTAGGTTTTCACCCCTAGGTATAACCTATTTCTGTTGGTAAGCAGTAGTACACCTACAGCTGGGTTCCAGTTTGAAGTGTTAGAGAACCAATATAACTTAAAGCTAAGGTATAGTATATATCTAGGGTTCTTATTTCTGAGGGGTGACAATGCTCCTGTAGGTCTCTTTGATTGAAATCGACTGCATATGAGCATGGACCGCAGAGGCCAATTGAATAGGGCACTGCTCCCTTTTTTATGTAAAACGATACTTTTTTACTCCTTCACTCAATATGTTATCACATTTAACACTTTCTCACTCATAAATGTGATATAAAAGATGTTTTTATTTCCCAACACTAATATTTTTTGTCGGAAATCATGATATTTTTCTCAATGCAGATAACAAAAACACTTGGTATAACAATACCGACCTAAGAAAAATAAACCAAAACAAGAAGTCCTGGTTTTTGAATTTACAGTATGTAAGTATTTTAAACATTTGGGATATAAGGATGAAACAATGATGAAAGAGGGATGGAAAACGCTAACACAGTTTTCCCTGAGTTTGGGATTACTGACGTGTGGTCGAGCGTCTTTGATTAAAATCTAACATTGACGGTGAAAACGAGAACTAATTCTGTACTTATTGGAGATTTTTTTGCTATCTTTTGTACAATATTATGACGAATTAAAAATGCCTAAAGGAATTAAATTATAAACCAAGTTGTTAACTTCATATTTATTAAGACTATTGCAATGTTGTAAGTATGGAAACAAGACTATACAAGACTATACAATTGGTAGATTAACATTTTTTCACACAACCACAGTCACTTTGGAAGCAATTTTGGCATAGGTTATGGCATGCGAGAAACGAGTGCTTACGAGTATATATTATATAACGTGTAGGACAAGTTTCGATCGTGCCGCCCTGCACTATAACAAGACTGTAGAGCTACTTATAAACCTTTCATTAGGGGATTTTATATTTCTTCTTCATAACTTATTGAATTTAAAATGATTCCGTCAATTACCGTACATTAATTCCTTTCCCAGAATAATGTAAACTACATTATTAAGTTTCTCAAAATTGAACCAACTAAACCGAAATAATAATAGTCATTTATTTTATGAATAATGCTTTAAATTTCGGGGCATTGACTTAGGTCTTTTACAGTATTTACATCATTAAGCTGGTACTGTTCTACTTCTGTGTTTATAGAAAAGGGACCTCCATTTTTATTTCGCCTATCTAATAGGAGAATCCGTTGTCTTACGTGGTAGAGCCATGCTGCAGTTATATTAGTAGTATAGTTGTAGCACGAATGGGTCGACGCGACCGGGAAAGGACCACGCTCTCACAGAATACCAATGTCAAATAGTAGCTTAATGCTGCTATGTTTCGTATGGTGAGTGTAGAGAATCGGAGACCATTTTTGCCGGAAACGAGCCATTCCACCTAAGTCCTCACGGATGACAACGCATCTGCATTTTGATTCCTAATTGAGGATAGACGTAGATGTCTATGGGCCACAGCAACCACTTTCCATCAGGTGGACTGTATGCTCGTTTGTCATCCCATCCTATAAAAAAAATACTCTTCACTTTTAAGGTTTTTTCCATGTGTATGAATAATAATAATAATAATAAAGGCGTAGGGAAGTGACGACCCCATTGCCCGCTGACGTAACAGTTATGTGACAAAACTGCTACGTCGGCGCAGTCAGTCAGCATCCTGCCAAGAGGTGTGAACGCCGTGCCTAGGCAAAATTGTGGGTGCAAAGGTCCGTTTGTGCATATGACCGAACCACGAAACGGTGCCGGGCTTGGGCGTCTCCCGTTATTTGGCGCACATAAAATGGATGATGGCACAAAGAGGAATGAGCATAGGGCCGCTGCCTGGGGGTCGCCGGGGCGCGTCTGGAGCTGGCGTTGGACGCGGCAGCATGCGGGCCGCCAGCCGAGCGCGAGGAGTTGCACGATCACCTAGCAGCCCTCCGCATCCATCATCCCCACCAGAAGGCTTGGTGTCGGCTGGGTCTTCTCGGACTCAGCAAGCGGCATCCGCCGCTGGTGGAGCACGTCGCATGCGTTAGTCACTAACAATGAACGCAAACGCATTGCGGGCATACTTTAGGGCAAAAGGGGAAGAAACTGGATGTTTGGCGTATCGGGCTAGGATGCATCGTCTTTTTGCTGAGCTGGAACCGTCACAGAGCAAAACCTGGCAGATCGAGTTCGGTATATCTTGCGCTCAAATATATTTGATGTCGCCGAACTCGAACGGATACGACGTGAGGCTGTTCCCTCATCGGATGAAAATGCTACGGCTGAGGATGCGGCGCCACAAATTGTAGAGCAACCCGCAAACGTGGATTCCGCCGTGAATACCCCAGTTGTGGTTGATTCAAACGATAATGAAACAGTCGCCCAGGAACTGGAATTAGAGCATATGAGGAGTACATTGGAAGAGGCGATTGTGCAAACGCGCAGTACGCCTCTCGAAAATCGACCGCGACTTCCCCGCATAGCCCTAAGCAAGCGGAATCGGGCTGTCGTGAGGGCTCTGAACCCAATGCTGGTGATCTATTTGGAAGCCAGCCGGGACCTTTGCGAGACGGACTCAATTCTTTTTGACGCCGCGCTGGCAGTCTGCCGTATCATAGGCGCCAAGGTTTCCACAAGATTGACGTATCGCAAAGGCTGGAGCTCTCATCAGCAGACTGATATGCTTCAGATCAGGCAATACCAGGCCAAGAATTGTGCGCACCATCAGGATGGCGTTTGCTGGGACAAATGTCAGTTTGTCCCAGCCGGATATAACGCAAAACCTGACGGAGCGTATAGATGATCTGAATCAGAGAATCGCTGCTTGGGGAAAGCGGATTCGGCGATATACCGAGAGGTCGACACGGTTTAACCAGAATCGTCTCTTCCAGAGTGATCAGAAGAGGCTGATTCATAGATCATTGGAGCGACCAATGGTAAGTGGAACGGGCCCAGCACCGAATCAGGCCGACACTGTAGCATTTTGGCGCGGCCTGTGGTCAGAGCCCGTAAACCACAGCGAGGGCCCTTGGACGGAAGTTGTGGCGGAGTCAGTGTGCGAGTATAACGCCCATGGACCCCGTCATTATAACACCGGATGACGTAGCTGAGGCGATCTGTAGGCCCCGAACTGGAAAAGTCCGGGACTCGACGGGCTGCATCACTACTGGCTGAAGGGGTTCGTGGTGTGTCACACTGTGCTCGCCCGACAGTTTCAAGAGGCTCTCAACCAGAAGTCGCTCCCGAGCCTCTTCACTACTGGGACCACCCATTTGGTTCCTAAAGACCCGGGTACCACGGGCAATACCGCCCCATCACGTGTCTACCGACCATATACAAGACACTAACATCCATTTTGAGCGCGAGAATCACTCGTCACCCGGACTCAAATCAGGTGATGTCGGGTGGGGCGGTGGTCGTGGAACCAAGGAACCACTCCTCATTGACGCGGTCATTGGCAAAGTGGTGAAACGCAACCGTCGGAACTTCTCCGCTGCCTGGATAGACTACAGAAAGGCATTCGGCTCGGTGCCCCATACATGGCTAAAGAGAGTCCTCGAGCTGTACAAGATAGACTGTACGGCTAGAGACTTCCTCGAGCAGTGTATGGGGCAGTGGAGTACGATCCTTTGTCATCTGGGCGAGCGGATGATGGCTGCGGAGAACCACATAAGGATAAGAAGGGGTATCTTTCAGGGCTATTGTCTAAGTCCAATCTGGTTCTGCCTCTACCTACTTACCTACCTTACTGGAGGGCTCCGGGAGGGGATTTCAGCTACGGAAAGGAGGGACAAAAGTGACCCACCTTTTCTATATGGATGACCTCAAGTTATTCGCCTCCAGTCGCTCCCATCTTACGGAATTGGAATGGAGCTGGGGACGGATAAGTGTGCGGTCCTCCATGTTGAAAGGGGAAGGGTTACTAACTCTGAGGGCATAGACTTATCTATGCCCGTCAACTTAAGAACCCTTTCCGAGGCTGAAACATACCGATACCTGGGTATGTCACAGAACATCGGTATCGATGAGGCTGGTATGAAACAGTTTTGCGACATGTTTTATGCACGCTTGACCAAAGTGCTTAACAGCCTTTTGTCCGGTGTGAATAAGGCACACGCATATAAAGGCTGGGTCATGCCTGCTGCTTATGTTGATTATGCCAAAGGTATACATGTCCTCATGTATACCTTTGGCATACTCAGGTGGACTCAGACTGAACTTAACGCCCTGGATAGAAAAGTCCGCACTACCATGACGTCCCATAGGATGCATCATCCGAAATCGTCGGTAATGAGGCTGTACTTGCCGCGAAAGCATGGCAAGATCCGGCAGTGCAGAGCATTTCCGACCGGGAGACCGTATGAAAGGAGAAGGAGCTCCACGGGAGGTTCTACAAGGCTCTACATGAGCCTTTCGTAGACGCAGTAGCCTCCCTCCACTGGCTACGCTTTGGTGACCTCTTTGGGGAAACCGAGGGTTTTGTTTATTTATTTATGTATTTTTTGTATTTATTTTATTTTATTGATATTTATGTATACTTATTTATCTTTTCTAAAAATTATATATTTATAGAACCCAGCCAGATGAGAAAATTATATAGATACCCCATAAATAATAATAATAAATAACAATAATATAAATATAAATAAAACGTTCTATGTAGAAGTTATTAAAATAAATGGAAATTTTATGTTGTCGTCTGGTTTTAACTTTTAATACAATATTATGAGCCCGATTGTAACATCTAGTGGGTTATAACACGGACCTAGTCCATGGACGGACATAGTCACGGACGTTACGCCATGCTCCGCTTGGCTGACGGCCAGAGACACCATAGAGGCATGCGCACCGAGCGGTCACCACCGTTTTAAGCGGTAAATATGTTTAGTTTAGGTAAATTCAATATTAGTTTCCCTTTTAATTTAATGTGCGGAAATCTTGATGTTCCTATTACCATATAAATTATTGAAAATATATATCGATTTAGAAATTATATTTCTGTTATAGTGGAACGTGTAAAATATAGACATTGAGTTAGACATTAATAAATTTAATTACGGTGATGATGACTGTATAAGGCCGGTGCTAGACTTGGCTTCAATTCTGCTTTAACTACAGAAAGAGCTCCAGTCACTAAGGGTGACATAGGCATTTGCGAACGTGTGTGCAAAGTTTGAACACACATTTGAACTTTTTCATGCAGTTTCGGTTTTTCAACGTATATCAAACTAAACAAAGTTAAAAGTTTGAGCGGTTATATATACACAGAATATATAAATATGTAGATTAATTTAATGTGATTCTATAAATATGTAGAATCTCGAGTTTTTTATACAGAGCCGCCAATATGGAATTTAAAAAGCAGGGATGAAAATCGAAACTGTACTAACGAAGTGAAAAATAATTTTACGGTATCTTTTGCTCTGGAAGAACTTTCGATCATAAAAAGAAATAATCTACTAACGCAGTACAGAGATTGATGATTCTACTTAAAGATTAATGATTTTTAACTAAAACCGGCACCCGGCTGCAAACATCTTCTTCTTGTAGATTTTAGATTATTTTACACTAGTTGATGTAAAAGCACGTCTAAGTAAAGTTAATTTTAATTTTCTGTACGTCTCACTGTGGGGTAAAGGCGTCTCTAATTTCAAATGTGTTTTTAGGGCAAAGAAATGTCCACCGCGTCCACCTTATTTGATCATTTTACTAATTTTCAATAATACTTATACATAGTTAAATAAAAATATATAAATAAAAGGCAGCCAAACAAAACAAAGATACAAAGTCCACAAAAAGGTCAACCATTCAGTGCGCCATCTTTGCGAAAAATGTAAGTGAGTGAAAATTTTTGAAAACGTGTGTCCAAACTTCGCTCACGTGTCTGTTGCCGGGATAAAGAAGTTGTTAAGAGTTGTTTAACCCTTGTTTACGCCTTGGTGTTGTATGATTTCACTTTCATTGTAAAGATATTGTTAACATCTTATACAAATGGGTAACTTTAGCGATTGCTAACTGCGTCACTCTTTAGCAGCGCATTAATTGCGTACCATGCGATTGTGAAACGTCATTAGGTCTAAAATATAGTCAAAGTTAATGAAAAAGACGATGGTGTGTGTAGGATTTTATTAATATACAAAGTCCTACTAAAAGCGATGGAAACTATAAAATATTATAACCTCAAAACTGAGACCTGTTTGTTAACATGCGTGAGATATTATACTTATTTACCAGAAGCACACACTTTATTTTATTTATTTTTCGCATACACCACGCTGGCCGAATTCAAAATAAACTGGCCATTTTATAAACAGGCCGAGGTCGAACCAAAATAACTCATCGTCTATATATAAACGCTTTTTCAGGAATAATATAGTGCTTTATTTATATTACCGGGATTAGGTCAATAGAAGAACATTGTAATAAATTCGAGCTTCTACGAATTGTTTAACTACTATAATATGATACCGTTTAACTTGACATATTATACTACCAATAATTTTCAATTGGTTATTTATTGACACCGTTATTATTGATACCAACGTTGGCCTTCTCATCACTCCCTCATCACCACAGTTTTTTTTTGTTTTGGTCGTGATTGGGAAGACACTGCTGCTCATCTCCAGATTTGTTACCCCCTGTCGCCTCTTACGACTCCCACGGAATGACATGAGGTAGTGGATATTCTTATACCGCCAATACACGGCATTATTGACACAGTTTGTGAAAATTATAGTGTATAAGGTGGAAGTGGAAGGCCACTTTTTCTCCAAATGGCTCCATTGCGGTGAACTATGCCAACTGACGTAAGAATCTTTGGCGTCCGAGTAATGATAGAAAGTTTAACAAACAATGTTACATCTAAATTATAGATCATTATTAGTACGACGGTATCATTAGGTACGGATATAATTTCCGAACTAGAGGTAGATTTTGACATTTATTAGAGCTTTAAACGAGACAAAATTAAATAAAAATGTTTAGTAGTTCTTTAAGATGAGAAAATCCGGAAAATAAATGTGATAAACAATTTAATGCAGTGCAACCTTGATATAACAAATCGGAAGGGAACAAGTAAATATTCGTTACATCATGTAATTCGTTGAACTGAGGTTTGTTATGTTGAGGTTAGCTTGATCTAGAATTTGTTATAAAGAGGTAAAAAAATAATTTTATTCACAACTTCTACTAAGAAACTTTATATAAAGGTCTTGGATTGGCAAAATTCGTTAATTAGAGATATTTACACTTTTTCTTGATAGTAAAAGTTAAAGTTAAATTCGTTATAAAGAGGTAGTTCGCAATGTAAAGGTTTATTTTACATTGACTCTTATGGACAATTCAAGGGGATTACGAAGAATTTGTTAAATGTGGGAAGTTGTTATGTGAGGTACATTATATTAAGGTTGCACTGTATTCCTTTAAGTAACGATAATTATTTTTATGACAGGTTTTGTGACTGTGAAAACAGTTATTAAGTGTTTGTCGCATTTTTGTTGTGTAAGTAGAGAGGGTGTCTTTCCTTAAAAATATTAGGCAGCGGCTCAACCGGGGAAGGACCACGCTCTCACAGAATACCAGCGTAAAATAGCAGCCTAATGCTGCTGTGTTTCGTATGGTCAATGTAGAACCAGAGACCCCTTTTCCTGAATCTGAGGTATTCCATCTTAGTCCTCATGGGTGACAACGCATCTGCATTTTGATTCTTAATCAAGGATAGATGTCTATGGGCCACAGAACCCGCATACCATCAAGTGGGCTGTGTGCTCGCTTTTCACCCTTATTCTATGAAAAAAAAACTCTTCTTGTAGATAAAAAAGATCGTAAGAGAAATAATTACTAATGGACACATGTTAACTTGGCAACAACCTTTTATACTGTGTTAATACAAAAATACCTTTACATATGAAAATCTATAAGATTTATATATATTTATATATATAGAGATATATATATAGATTTGATAATAGAGAAATTCCAATTGTTTTAGAACTAGAATTACCGCTGCCTGAATCTTCCCATACTGCCCGCAGGTGTCGAAGAAAAATTCCACAAAGTTCGTATTGTCGGTATATATATATAATATAGACATAATATAGACAAAAGTTGTAGAAAGTTACTATCACCATCCACCCTCTCAAAATAATACACTCCCAATTTTACCTGTTGTGAAGAAGAGCTAGTGACTTGTGTGTTCAGAGACTGGTTCTGTCGGGAGACAAGGCTGCTTTTCTTCAGGTTTTCCATGACGGAGGCTAGATCTTTGGCACTGCCGTTGTGCTTTAGGCTGTTGTTTCCATCCAAGTTGAATTCCGGTATCTATAAATAAAAATAACACCCATTGAATGTAATCCGATTTTAATGGTGTGGATGAAGGTCGCTTCAGGTAAACAGCGTCATAAATTATAATTAAAATCCTTGTGTGTTCTATTGTACTCTTAAAAATAATTAACATACCAATGAGTTGTAAAATTAATGATTATCTTCAACGGGACCTCGATACAAGTCACTAAGAAGGTTGTTATGATCCTAGTCAGAGGAAATGGATATTATATTATTATTTGCGTGACTTAGTCTTTTTAAAATCAATTATCGCACTAACTTTAATATTAACGGCCTTTTTCAAATGTACAGATCAAGTCTTTTCCATGCGCATGATCGCGGAAAAGTTTTTGGCCAAAAACCAAAAGGTTTTTTGTGCGTTCATGGACTTGGAAAAGGCCTATGACAGAGTGGATAGGGATGTGCTATGGCAAACACTGAATTCATTTGGGTTGAACGCTGGCTTGATTACAGGCATTGGAGTCGCTTTATAGGGATTCTAGTGCTTGTGTTAGGATCTACGGGGTCTACTCGAACTGGTTTGGCATCCATAAAGGTGTCAGACAGGGCTGTGTGGCTTCCCCGTGGCTGTTCAACCTATTTATGGACAGTTGTTTGCAAAATTTGAAAATTGAAGAATGCGGATTAAGAATGGGTGAGTTAACCGTCAAATGCCTTTTGTACGCCGATGATCAAGTTATTCTTGTGTCGTCGGCGGCCGAGCTGCAAATGATGGTTACATTAATGAACAGATCATTAAAAGAAAGGGGTATGAAAGTGAACGCAAGTAAGACGAAATTTATGGTTTTTGAAAGAGAAGAAAGTAAGACGATATGTGAAATAAGAATAGAAGGGGAGTTGATCGAGCAAGTAGATGAGTTTGTATATCTGGGTTGCGTAATTAGCAGGGATGGGAGATGTGATAAGGATATAGAACGACGAGTGAATGCAGGAAATAGAATAAATGGGGCCCTACACTCTATTGTGAAGAGTCAAAAAAGTGTGTGTCGAAAAAGGCACGTATGGCAATTCACAATGCTGTATTGGTCCCTACTTTAACGTATGGTAGTGAAAGTTGGGTGTGGCAGAAGAAGCACGAGAGTAGAATGAACGCAGTAGAAATGCGGTCGTTAAGGAGTATGTTAGGGCTGAATCTGAATGACAGGGTAAGAAATTGTGTAATAAGAGAAGAGTGCGGTTTGCAAGATGATGTTGTGACCAGGATTAAGAAAGGAATGCTTCGGTGGTTTGGTCATGTGGAAAGAATGAATGAGGAAAGAGTGACAAAGAAAATTTATGTTGCAGAAGTGAATGGCAGTCGGAACGGGACGTCCTAGGCGAAAATTTATCGACCAAATTGGCGATTTATTGAAAACGGGCCAAATTAGGAGTACCCTTAACCGACGAGCATTTATGCGCAGGTGTATGGATGTAAAGGAGGCGAGAGAGGTGTGTCAGGATCGTGCCAAATGGAAGTCTGTAGTCTCTGCCTACCCCTCTGGGTGACAGGCGTGAGTATTTATGTATGTATTATGTATTCAAATGATCGCAATTATTTTAAAGTAAAGTTATTACAAAGTTGCAAAAATGAAGTACTTTTGGCAAATTTTAAGAAAACCCATAAGTTTATACCATCTCGTGGGTGTATAAAAAACTGCGATTACCAACCTGCCTGTTAATCATGGCAAATATGGTAAAATTAGGCAATTCCTGTGGAAGGCCTGTGTTTTGTAGACCATTGATAGGATGCAATTAATGATTGAATGATAAAATGATATAAATATGCCAAGTATGTTGTAGAAGTACCGACTATACAGGTATTCGAACACATTACAAATAATTCGGAATTTCATAACCTTTTTCATCTTTATGTGTATATTTTAACGTGGTAGAGCCACGCTGCAGCTTTATTGTGTTGTAGCACGAATAGCATTTTCGGTGAGGTTAGTATGTTTTTTCAGTCGTTTTTAATTTTTTTAATTCTTTTAATTTCTGATTTGCTTCACCAAAATATCATATTGGTTAACATAAAAATAATATGGGCACAGAAACTGGTGTATAACTTCCTTCCACGGATGACAAACTGAGCAATAGGCATTCTGACACTGGCTACGATATACTCCAATTCGTTTGACGTTCTTTTGATTTCCGAATTTTGATTTTTTTTACATTTTCATTGCGCGTTGGCCATTGACTAATGTTCGCTTTCCAATTGTCGCTTGCACACAGGACCTGTTTGCAGTGGATCAGCATCAGAGATTCCGTCTTAACGTTTTCTGAATAATATATGTGGTAGAGCCGCGCTTCAGCTATATTATTGTTGTAGCACGAAAGGGACAGCTCGACCGGGGAAGGACCATGCTCTCACAGAATACCAGCGTAAAATAGCAGGTTGATGCTGCTGTTTTTTGTACTGTAAGTGTAGAGAACTGTAGACCCGTTGTACTGGAATCGAGGCATTCCATCTTAATACTCAGGGATGACAACGCATCTGCACTTTGATTCTTAATCGAGGTTAAATGTCTATGGGCCACAGCATCTACTTACCATCAGGTGGACTGTGTGCTCGTTTTTCATCCTAACGCTATAGATATATATTTAAAAAATAGTTACGGTGATTTGAATGTATAGATCTATAGCGCGAACAATACTACCCTCAAGCATAATTATACATAGGTAGTCTTGACTGCCGTAGTACTGTCCTTGACATAAATATGTGATACAGCGTGATTTAGAAGCGCGGTTACCGTTATTGCTTTATCATCACGAAATTTCAATTGTTATTATAAGCGTATGTTCAATATAAATCAGTGGTTTGATTTTGCATATGGATTATTGTTTCAGGTATTGGAAAGGTTCAACCAAACCGGAAAGTAGTACGGAGCCATCGTATTGTCTTCTTTCTTTTAAAAAACGTTACCTCCACTATAGGATTTTCTCATGTATCGTGGGGGCAGTTTACAAGCATAAATTTTCGAAAACTTGTAGGCCATACAAATATCTACTTGTTCCATGCGTTCATTACTCCCCTTCTACTGTTAATATCACGGTTAATATACTATGACTACTACATTAGTATACTATATATATATTTTTTATATATATATATATATATATATATATATATATAGTATTTCACAAATGAGCATCTACTTCAAAGGCATATGAAAGATTTAAGTATGTGGATAGCTTTTATGTTTATATAAATTCTATGACCGAATTAAAAAAGTTTATTTTAATTAAATGTTATGAATAAAAATGCAAAAAACTTTAAAACTTGATTATGTTCGTTTTAATACTTATATTATTATTAAAAGTAAAGAAAAATGTTGTTTGCTTCTTTTTAATATACGTTTATCTTATATAGCTTAAATGAAGATATGTAGTAGAACTTACAACTTCAAATGTGGTAGGGCCATGCTGCAGCTATATTGTTGCAGCACGAATGGGTCGGCTCGACCAGGGCACCGCGGTAGACCATGCTCTCTCAGAATACCATCGTCAAATAGCAGCTTAATGCTGTTGTGTTTCGTATAGTGAGTGTAGAGAACCGGATACCCGTTTTTACTGGACACGAGGCATTTCATCTTAGTCCTCACGGATGGCATCTGCATTCTGATTATTAACTGCGAATAGATGTAGATGTCTATGGTCCACTTACCATCAGGTGGACTGTGTGCTCGTACGCTGTATCCTAGATTCGTCACCCTTATTATATAAAAAATACCCCATTAACAAGAATACCTTTACAGCAGTTAATAACACTTGTACTCGGTTCTAATTTCTCATGTGAACACTTTTATTACTATTCCGGGAACACTGTGTCTGCTTTGAATTCAGAGCAAGGACAACTTATTGCACTAGTGAAACCGTTGAATAGGGTCAAAGAAACCATTGGCAGTGTAATACGATATCTATGCGTGAGTCATCGGAGACTCCGGTAACGCTATCAATCAGAAACGCGGCTCACGCGTTCGAGTGTCGAATGTTGAGCTTCGCAATACGCATATTAAAACCCGCCTACGCACACGGTGCCTTCAAGCTTTAAAACTATTTGGAATAGCAATCAAAATATGCCAATCATCGCTATTTACGAGCACTCGATCAATTAGTTACGATTCAATACAAAAGATACTGATTATGCGTGAACATTATAAATATTCACGCATGAAATATCCATTATCATCAAACAGTTGTTGATAAGTTCAGAGATTTCGGAACGCACGTCACTGCTTTAAATATAGTCGACAGTAATTGTATCTTTTACGCAATCGTAACAATATTAAATTGTAAATTGATAATTGGCAGAGACATGCGATGATTGCCAGTGTTATGGAGACGACATGCGACATACATATGATGCGATATGACGTGGGCATACTTAATATCATAGCGTTAACTGGTGCGTCGTCACCGAAGTAATTCAAAGTAGCATGCTATTTTTTACACATGAATTACATACTAAACAAGACAACAGTTTGCATCAAAAAAAGTTGTCTTTAAGCTCAGGTGAGCTAGTAAAATTTACCTTTTGAAGTTTTTTTAAACCGATCTGGTTTCGACTTTGGGCTGTTTGAATTCACATGTTTCTAAGATTTAGAGACCGTAAAGATTTAGAAATTTAGAAAGACAATTTGCGTATTTTATTTGTATTAAATTATTTTACTAACACGCTGAACGTTTTATGGATGAAGTAAATAATTTATTTTTCAAAACGCAATCGTCTTCTATTTATAACAACTTTTAAATAATTTATTTACAAGAACAGCTAGTTTTAAAATAAAATGGGTTGTATAAGTTTAAATTATTATAATTATAAAACTTGATTGCATTACGTCATTTGCTGTCATAATAAAATAATGTTGGAATGTTTAAAAAAAGGAATAATTAAGAATCTCCAGTTCACTTGGCATCGCATACCTGAGGGGTGAGTTATCAATGATTTCATTGATAAATCTGTTATACTGTCCTATATGATGACTAATACATGTTGAGGC